CCATGAAGATATTTTGTAAGTTTCCTACTGTAAATATATCAAAACTTAATTTTTGATTAGTAATATGCATGGCTAAGAACTTCATTTGGACAACTTTAAAGATGATTTTCTCAATATTTAGATTTTTTTGCACCCTCAGATTCCGGATTTTCAAATAGTTGTATCTCAGCCAAATATTGTCCTATCCTAACAAACCATACATCAATGGAAAGATAGTTTATTCAGAATGACCCTTATAACTGGTTTTGTGGTCTAGGGTCACATATTGTTGCATTTACTATTTGCATTTAGCATTGATTTTCCTCCAGACCAAGACCCAGTCAGTACCTACAACCAGTTTGTTTGTGTTCAGTGGACCTGACTTCACACCTCCACTTATAGTGGAGGAAACCCATTTATAGTGTCAAAATATTATTTGGCACCGCTGTGCATTAAGTCAGTCTTATAAAATGAAGCCTTAAATCAAATGATTTGGCATCTATTCCTTTAGTCAAAGCTTGAGGTAAAGCACAGGACACGTGGACAGTAGCATGCATGTCTCACCCTTGGTAGTGTTCATCTGTTGTGTAGTGTTGTGTTGTTGTTGTGTGGACACAGAGTTATTGTTGATCTCCTCCATGATGTTGGCCTGCTCTTGTGCACACGCTATGGCAGGCTGTAGACTCACACAGCAGTGTCTCTGAGCTCTGACACACAGCTTCACCTGAGCAGACTGAAGAGCTCTAGCGAACAGAAAGTAGCGGCTGATCATGTCCACACAAACTATCCGGATTGTTTCTGGGACAGTCAGCTGCACTGTTGTATGCGATTTAATCGCAGTATGTGTTTGTTAAGTGTGTAAATAAGCTCTTGATCTTACAGTTCCGCCATTAAAGCGGCGCGGTTTCCCTCGTCAGGCGTATTTCTGCATTTACTGCACTGCAGGAATCAGGATCAGCTTTCATGTTAAAAACAGACCTCTCAGTGTTTACCGCATACAACACGACACACATGTTACGGGTAGTCAGAGGGGACACGCGGTGCTCGACGAGAAAGCGCTTCGAAAAACAACGGCAGGAATCGTTTACACACAACTGAACATTCTGACATAATTTATTCGCTCTCCTGTAGTTTCAAACCTGATTTTTCGCCCCAGTGGAACACAAAATAAAGATGCACTATATGGACAAAAGTATAGAGACACCTGACCAACATCGCATTCTAAATCCATAGACATTAAATGTGGGGTAAGCGATTTTTCAAAAACACTTTAGAAAACCGATTCGGGCCGAATAGCAAAACAAACTTGTAGCCAATCAGCAGTAAGGGGCGTGTCTACTCAGGATGTGGAGGAGAGCGCGTTCAGTGCACGGGACGGACATTAGATTTTGTGGTGACATTATGACCTGAATCATTTTTTGACAATTCACCCTATGATGAAGACTTGGCTCATGAATATTAATTACATAATTTGACATTTACCCAGCAGGATAACTGACTGGCTGAAATGCTGGTAATTGATAGTCATAATTATGAATCCTACTATTGTGAAGAACTGAAATAAACAGCAATTAGGTTATGGACCGGACAGTTCAGGCAGATTAACAGGCAACATCAGCGAGACCAAATGAATATTCATGAGCTCAGTCTTTGCCATAGTAGAAGCTGTATCTTTGTGTCTTGAATTGGTTTTTTTGTTCTTTGTATCCAGCAGCACTTCCGTCAGCCACACTGAGGCCTTCATTTCCAAATAATTCAGTCAAAACTCTCAGCCTTGTCAAAACATGACACAGGCAAGGAAAAGATTTGCCTCACAATCCAATAATTCATTATCATGCTATTAAATATTCTTGTTTTTCTTCGTTAATTAACTAGCACTACATCTAGAAGTTCAAAGTGTCAAACAGACCCATAATGAAATGTAATATATGACATATAGCCCGATATCAAGAGTGATATTGCCATATTTGTTACCTATTAGGCGATACTTAATTTTCACGTTCATTCTCTGGATAAATGAAGATATATGTTTTTACAATCCAATGATTCATTATCATGCTATTAAATATTCTTGTTTTTCTTCGTTAATTAACCAGCACTACATCTAGAAGTTCAAAGTGTCAAACAGACCCATAATGAAATGTAAGACATACAGCCCGATATCAAGAGTGATATTGCCATATTTGTTACCTATTAGGCGATGCTTAATTTTCATGTACGTACATTCTCTGGATAAATGAAGATATACTGTACGTTTTTAACATATAAATCCCCATAGGAAAATTTGTACACGTGTTAATAATATTTAGCTATATGATTTTTTTAATATGGTAGTATATGTAGCCTAACATACTGTACATATGTATTTGTACGGGATATATAAGAAATTATTCCCTTTTCAAATAAGCTTTCATATTTATGACAACATATTTCATGAAGATTAATACATATGCATATATTGGATATGCATATGGGGAACAACAAAAGAGAACAAGCAGAAAAAGGCAAAGACAAAGTTGAAATCTAAACAGAAACTCTTCTGCATATTCATCCAATGCTTTCTGGATGCTGTGAAAGCCTCGTGATTTTGGCTCTGTTTGTTCTGACCTTGAATCCATTGAGTGATTCTTTTCACTTTCACAAACACTGTATAAGTGAGCACACGCACTGGATTCAGATAGCGCAGGTGTTGTCTGCAGTGTTGTAGAGTGGCAGCAGTGCATCTCTGTTATTGGCTGGCTTGGTGTTGTGTAACATCAGACCGCTGCTTGGGTTTCAGGCCGCCGAGGGCCAGCTCGACTTATTCACAGGCGGAGCAGCAAACAGGTGTAAAGGAAGGACCGGTTCTCTGACCTGTTCGTCCGGGTGATACCGACGGTTTGTTCCCTGATGTTTACCTGAGATCTTTCGGCCTGGAGTTTGAGGTGAGCCCATCCTGAGCGCCGGGGGCCTGTTTAACGGGGTCAGGGCTTCTGTTACACACTATTCTCTCTTATCAATGCACTGGTTGCTGTATAACAAAGCAAGAAAACCTTTTTCACTTCCAACAACCAGCATACTTACAAAGCTCTGGTTGCACGGTAGGCGTTTGTCAGAGCTGCGTTGAACAAATATTTAAAGAATGGCTGGATCGTTAAGTGACTCCTGCCAAACACACTAAGCACATACTGTATGGCCTTTATTTTCATGCCTTCACAGCACATCATGTTTTCAGTTCTGTGGAAATAACTTGGATGCTTTTCTTAACTCTTTTCAAAATGTCATTATTTTCTCACTCTCATTACTATTCTGTGTACTTTATTTTGTTCCTTGGAAAACAAAAGGAGAGTTTTTGAACAATCTGCTCATCTCCATGACTGTCAAAATGTAAGCAGTCATTTTTCAAGTCTTCTGAAGTCATGCAGTAACTTTGTGTGTGGAACAGGCTGAATTAATTAATTTGAATTTAATATTCTCCGTACTTCTATTTCTAGTTTTTTTTTTGTCCGTTTTTGGAGCTTGACAGACATGGCCACACTATAAACTGTCATCGTATGGAAAGAGCAGCCTGAACATTAATCCAAATTTCTTCTTTTGTGTTTCATTGAAAAAAGCAAGTCATTATGAGTCTTTATCAATCTATACATTTTTATTAAATTTTTAGTTTAAGTTATTTTAGTACATCAAGTTAAACTAAAGTAAAATGAAAAATAGTTTAATGATATTAATAAAAACAGTATTCTTCCACCAAACAATGTAGTTCCTCAGAAACAGTTGTGGTTGCAACAAAGTGGTTGCCGAGCAACACACAAACGTAAACAAAGGTGTATGTTACTTTGTAGAGTAATTTACAACAGCTTCGAACGCGGCTCAGCCAATCAGAATCAAGCACCGGAACTCTCCGCTTTATAAGGAGAGTTTTTGAATAATCTGCTCATCTCCATGACTTTGACATGATCTTTCAAGTCTTCTGAAGTCATGCAGTAACTTTGTGTGTGGAACAGGCTGAATTTAAGATTCTCCGTACTTCTATTTCTCGTTTTTATTGTCCGTTTTTGGAGCTTGACAGACATGGCCACACTATAAACTGTCATCGTATGCAAAGAGCAGCCTGAACATTAATCCAAATTTCTCCTTTTGTGTTTCATTGAAAAAAGTCTTTATCAATCTATACATTTTTATTTAATTTTTAGTTTATGTTATTTTAGTACATCAAGTTAAACTAAAGTAAAATGAAAAATGTTGCCTCGGAAGAAATAAAACGTTTTTTATATTTTATTTCAAGTAACAAAAATGTTTTGTAATGGTTTTCATTTTAGTTAACTATAATAATCTATATATTTATATTATATATTAATATATATTATATGCATGATACAAAATATATTGTAATGTATATCAGTGTTATTTTAGTATCATTGAGATGCTATTATAGTTTTCATTCTTATTTAAATCAATTTCATTTTGAAATTAGAATTGAAATTAAGTCAATTTCAATTCTAATTTGAGTTAGTGTTATTAATTTTTTGTGTATTTATATATATATATAAAACTATGTATAGTTTTTTTAAATATAATTTTTAGTTTGAGTTACATTAAGTTAAAATAAATTAAAATGAGAAATGTTACCTTGTGTGTGTGTTTAAATGGTTTTAATGGTATAGTTCACCTTCAGTTGCTGGTAACTAAAATTAAACTATCCCTTTAAAAAAACCCAGTTTATTACACACTCACACACACACACACACACACACAGATACACAC